TCGCCTGCACTATTCTCACTCCTGGTGAGAATAGAGGTGGCCTATTATTAATATGATGGCTAGACTGACCATTACAAAAAATAGGCCTACTGAATTGTAAATATATATACATTTTTGGCCACCTCTATTCTCACCCGGGGTGAGAATAGTGCAGGCGAGTCTTTTGGCTATTCTCACCCGGTGCGCATTCACCGTTATAGCCTAGATCTAGGCCAACAAATTTTGCATTCACCCTAAACCACAGAATTCTACACTGTGTATAACAGAAAAATTGTAGAATTCTGTGCTGTGAACAAATGTTCCATTACAACTGTAGCCTACTAAAAGCATACAATTTTGTCTGTGGGCAGTGGAGAGAGAGAGAGAGAGGAGTAGCGCGAGAACTTCCGGTCAAAACAAAATGGCGACCCGCGTAGTTCGGCTCGATTCGAAAAGTTAAATAGCCGTAGCATCTTTGTAGACATCCAAATTAATTTACTTTTGTGTTTTAACATCATTTTTTAACTTTGTTTTGGTCAAATTGATCGTCCACAACGATAAACAGTTTTCAGAAAGAGACAGAGAGAGAGAGAGAGGGGAGGAGTAGATCTTGCGAGAACTTCCGGGCAAAACAAAATGGCGACCCGCGTAGTTCGGCTCGATTCGAACAGTGAAATAGCCATAGCATCTTTGAAGACGATCAAATTAGCTTACTTTTGTGCTATAACGTAATTTTTTTATTGGATTTTATCAATTTGATCATCCACATCGATAGAAAATATTCCGAAATTAGGGAAAACAGGTCTTGTTTCAAACCGGGTGAGAATAGCCTACGGTCGCAAGTCTCACCCGGGGGTGAGAGGTTGATCGTATTTCTATTCTCACCCCGGATGAGAATAGCCACTTCCTACATTTTTAGTGTGCAGTACCTAAAGCATTTGTATTTGAGACGAAACCAGGTGCCTTTTACAGTGTATGTATTTTAAACCTCCTGTTTTCTAATGTTAATAGGGCCTAAGATAAGTACGGCTAGACTGGCAGTCTAGCCGTACTTAAGTACGGGTAGACAGCCAGGCTAGCCGTACTTAAGGACGGCTAGACTGTCAGGCTAGCCGTACTTAATATTGATGGCTGAATTGTAAATGAAATTTTTAGTTTGCAATGCCAAAAGTATTTGTATTTCAGACAAAACCAAAGGGTGCCTTACTGACTTGCATGTATTTGAACCTGAATAATTACTAGATCTAGATCTAATGAGACCTGTGTACTTAACAGGCTTGAGTCGATTGGGCCAAACCTAGATCTAAGTACGGCTAGACTGGCAGTCTAGCCATACTTAAGTATGGCTAGACTCTCAGTCTAGCAGTACTTAAAAAGTACGGCTAGCCACTTCGTTACATTAACCCTAGAAGCGCTCAGCGTTTCACCGGAAGTAACCCGCCAAAAATGCCCCGCCACCACGACCGATCAGTTGTAAACATTGTATGGGGGTTTGGCGGGGGGGAAACAGCTGAGATACCCGAAATGTATACCTGCTACTGAAAAATTACCATTTACGGCTCAACGGATGATAAAAAGCATATAAAAGCATATATTTTCTTTAAGCTGATAGAATGAGCTATTCAAAAATGATCAGCGATCAAATAAATACAAACAATGCCGAGAACGCGATAGACTCAACAATTAGTACATCAGCACGGCAAAACAAGTGATAACACATAGCGTGTAGTCGCTCAGCGGGACCGCGTCACTTTATCGATCGATATCTCGGCCAAGAGACGCTCTACGAGGTCAAGATAACTTGTAAAGTCATTGGTCACTATTTATAACTTTGGCCTGTAATTGACTACGTCATTTTTCATATAAGGAACACTGGAATTTTCCATTGAAAAGGGTCAGCGTCTATGACCTTTATATAGGGCCTGCGCGCTTCCCGGTCGAAGTAGGTCAGCCCTATATATAGGGCGTGCGCGCTTCCCGGGTAGCCCGGCTCACGCCCTTTATATAGGGCCTGCGCGCTTCCAGGGTTAAGGCCACCTCTATTCTCACCCCGGGTGCCGGGTGAGAATAGTGCAGGTGTGTCTTTTGGCTATTCTCACCCGGTGCGCGTTCACCATTATAGCCTAGATCTAGATTAGATCTAGGCCAACCAATTTTGCTTTCACTCTAAACCACAGAATTCTACACTGCGATAACAGAAAAATTGTAGAATTCTGTGCCGTGAACAAACATTACATTACTACTGTTAGCCTACTAAAAGCGTACAATTTTGTCCCTGGGCAGTGGAGAGAGAGAGAGAGAGCTAGAGAAGTAGCGCGAGAACTTCCGGGCAAAACAAAATGGCGACCCACGTAGTTCGGCTCGATTTGAAAAGTCAAATAGCCGTAGCATCTTTGTAGACAACCAAATTAATTTACTTTTGTGTTTTAACATCATTTTTTAACTTTGTTTTGGTCAATTTGATCGTCCACACCGATAGACAGTATTCGGGAGGACTTCCGTAACGAGCGACCACTATTAACCCTGGAAGCGCGCAGGCCCTATATAAAGGGCGTGAGCCGGGCTACCCGGGAAGCGCGCAGGCCCTATATATAAGGCTGACCTACTTCGACCGGGAAGCGCGCAGGCCCTATATAAAGGGCATGGCCGTCGTTATTCGGACTCGAGTCCGAATAACATTTTTTCATATATTTGGACTTGAGTCCGAATAAAAAAATTTCTTATTCGGACTCGAGTCCGAATATGAAAAAATGTTATTTATTTGGACTCGGGTCCCGAAAAAAGGAAGTGTCTTCGTTCTATAGATCTAACGTTCAGTGCTTCCAATTTTCCACCATTTTTTAGTTTCCCCCACACCTTATCTGCTGACCCAATGCCCGCCGCCTCATTGATACGCCCCGCCCCCACGTTTCCCACTTTCTTTGTTGTAGAAAAAGGTAAAATTGAAGATTAGCAGACCACCTGGCACCTGCATATTATGAGCTGTGTAAAAAAAATAAAAGACCGATTCGTTGAAATACACAAGCCTGTGTCATATCGATTGTTTACCAAGAAAAAGTTGTGTTGCTGTGTAGAGCTGAGCATACGGCAACTTTTGATTCCATAGACCAGCACACAATTCATTACGTAGATCTACGTCAAGACTAGCTTATTATTGTAATAATGATCAGTTGCCGGGGGGGGGGGGGGAAGACTGACGCGTATACATGCGACGTTCAAAGCCCAGACCGATAGTGCCCCCCCACCACCCTCCCCGACACGCACACAGCCACACGTGTGCAGGCCGCCCATCCGACCCCGACACACGCTAACGAGCCATCTTTAATTGCTTCTGATGACCTCTTGACAAATAAACATTTATTAGAAGCGCTATAACTTTTCAGGCCGGCCTCAAATTCATCATAAGATTAAAACTCGGCTCCTGCACAAAACGCCTTTTTGCCCGAAGTTATCCCGTTCTCTACCCAGCCTGAGGCGAGTCACGAGTGAGGCAGGACAGGAAGCCGGATTCACGAGTCACAGGAAGTCGGAAGTGATGTCATGCTGGACAAGAATCAGAGTCCGAATAACATTTTTTCATATTCGGACTCGAGTCCGAATAATCACTTCGAAAGGGCATAGACGCTGACCCTTTTCAATGGAAAATTCCAGTGTTCCTTATATGGAAAATGACGAAGTCAATTACAGGCCAAAGTTATAAGTAGTGACCAATGACTTTGCAAGTTATCTTGACCTCGTAGAGCGTCTCTTGGCCGAGATATCGATCGATAAAGTGACGCGGTCCCGCTGAGCGACTAGATCTACACGCTATGTGTTAGTGTTATCACTTGTTTCGCCCTGCTGATGTACTAATTGTTGAGTCTATCGCGTTCTCGGATGCTTTTATATGCTTTTTATCATCCGTTGAGCCGCAAATTGTCATTTTTCAGTAGCAGATATACATTTCGGGTATCTCAGCTGTTTCCCCCCCGCCAAACCCCCATGTTTACAACTGTTCGGCCGTGGCGGCGGGGCATTTTTGACGGGTTACTTCCGGTGAAACGCTGAGCGCTTATATGGCTGAGCCATATTTAATAATAATCATGCAATCTTTTTGTCTTGACCTTGCTAGTTTCTGGCACAACATCAAATTTTGCAAAGCCAGCATTACGTGCATTATGACAGACATTTAATATATTATTTTCTCTCTCTATCTATCCAAGAAGCGGTGTTTGGTGTAGGGGATAGGTGTTTCACTTTCACACGCGGAATACAAGAGTTTGAATCCCAAGTAGGGAGAAATTTTCATCAAGTATCTCGGTCTTTCTGCTGGGATGTTGAATCCTTCCCAGCCCGGGTTGACCCTGACAGGCAGGGTTGAAAACCCGCCTCCTAAATGATCTAAATGGTGTTGATGGGGGTGGGGTGTAAAAACACCTACATTAATATAAAAACAAACAAATGAAAGGTACTCTCTCTTGTACAGCTCAACCATGCCTGGGCCGTTTGCGTTTGGTGCCCCGGGCACCGCCACCACCCAGGCCAACAGCTCTTTCTCTTTTGGGGCGGCCAAGACAACGGCTCCAACCCTCAATCTGACCAACCCGGCGGCCGCCACTGGGACAGCCGCCACTGGGACAGCCGCAGCGGGATTCAATTTTGGCCTCGGTAAAA